GCTATAACCACTAGGCTGCCCCACTGCCCCTGGTAGGAACGAGTACAATCTTCCTACATCTGTAGTATGAAGTGGATCAAACCACTGACCTTCTGCAAGCAGACATGCTATATATTACATCACTGATGTGGCTAGAAACACAAAGAATAACTCAGAAAAATATGGAATTGTCTTTATCATTTTTAACAGAGTACAACAGTAATAATCGAGGACTCACCTAATACACACATTCTATTCTACAATGATCCTGCGTACTATCTTAAAACATGATTCAAATATTAAATAATATATATCATGATGCCCAACACAGCAAATATCAACTTTATGCACTCCTTTTCAATTGAAACATTGTTGACATCTAAGCTAGTACACAAAACCTTGACATGACTTATAAAGTGAATACTATGTAACAAGGGGTGCTTGGAACTAGGTTCCTGGGAGCACTTGCATGTCCTCATCCATCCTAAGCAATGGTTATTTATTTCGTGGGTGGGTGGGTAAGAGGTCTTTGATGCACTTATCTGCTGAAAATAATGAGTGAGTGAGTGAGTTTAGTTTTACTCTGCTTTTAGCAATATTCCTGCAACATCACGGCGGGGGACACCAGAAATGGGCTTCACACATTGTGCCCATGTGGGGAATCGAACCTGGGTCTTCAGCGTGAGGAGCCAACGCTTTAACCACTACAAATATGCTTCGAAAATCTAAGTACAGGGCAACAAATACAGGTAATAGTCATGAGAGGAATCAACCTAGTCTGCCTTTAGGTGAAAAACAATGCACTATCCAACCAACCCTTATAATCTGAGCATTCATGTTATACGTCATATAAAAAAGCTAAAAATAAATAGAACTATAAGGCTTTGTACACCAAATTGTAGCTCACCTTCAAAGCAAAACATAAAAAAAGCACGGACACTAAAGAAACGTGTATATAAAGGTCAGAGGTCTTAGCTTGATAAAAGTTGCCATAACATATCTTGACAATAAACAGACAACCAGATGTTGGAGCCAGCCAAAACATAAGCTCACTTGACTTTCAGTCATGTAAACTAATATGGGTGGAGAGATTCAATATCTGGATCATTATCAAAATTGTCTGCATGATGCAGCTGTAATTCATTTGAGAAGCAGAATTAAACAAGGTAATATTTACATTACACTGACAGAATCATGCCAAGGCTGATAGCCATAACAAGTTTAAACAAGAGTCATCAGAAGATGACATATCCCTCCCCCCGGTTTTTGAGTTATGCTCCGGAAACGAAGCCCACCCCCCTTTAAGACTAAGTCCGAAACGTTTCCATGGAAACCGAAAAAAATAAAAATGACAAAAATCTGTAAATAGCAAAAGGCTCCACCTTCAGTTCTGTTTGATATATCTACGATTTTTTGTTGAAAAATATTGAACATTTTTTTAGTTATGCTCTGGAATCAAAATGATTACTGACGGACGGACAGACGGACGTGGCGTCGACTATATCCCCCCACATTAAATGCTGGGGGAATTAAAATTGAGTGAGCTTACCTAACACTCAGCCTAAATGTCAGCCTTAGAAGTTATAGTTAAATTTGTATGTTTACATTTTCTGTTCAGAATTACAGCCCTCAAACATTTAAGTCAATGAGGACTGCCATTACTTGACTTCAGCTAAAAACTTAGTAGTCACAGACTAATGATTGTTTCTTTTGTTAAATGCCGCACACAGCAATATTCCAGCTACATGGCAGCAGTCTGTAAATAATCAAGTCTGGAGGAGACAATCCAGAGATCAACAGTATGAGTATTGATCTAGGCAGTTGGGATATGATGACATTTGTCAACCAAGTCCGCAAGCCTGACCACCCGATCCTGTTAGACGCCTCTTACAACACAAGCTAATAGAATAGTGCATGTTTACTAGGGCTTGCTAAAAAGATCAATAATTGAAAATTCAGAAATATTGTTGATAGGAAAAGTTATTAATGATTATCAATATGAAAATAGTGTCATGGATGATATCGTTCATACACTTTTGCGATAGAATTAAGTTTTAACTTACTCACACAATACACTAAATTAGGTCTTAATTTAATTCATAGAGTGCTTTTAAATTATGTTCAGGATACATTTTCTTAAGAAATCCATGCATTAACATGTCACCACTCAATGGTGATGTGAAATATATTCATTTATTTCAGATGTTTTCGGCATTTTTGCTCAGAGTTACTTCTCCGATATTTATCGAAAATCGATCGATATTTTGTCAACGATTATCGATTCCTATGATCTATATTGATTGCCAGTTCCAATTATTATGGCTATAAGAATCAAATAGTATGAGTTGTGACATACGTTTTAAGTCTATCAGCTGAGGGTTGTCCAATGAACGTGTAGTATGATTTACAGGTGCCTGGTGCCTCTTTTAAATAGTCAAAATATGCATTGCTTCACTGATTGATGTTTCCTGGAAGTGACCCAGTATAGTCTTACGCCTCTTTTAGCAATATTCCAGCAATAACATTCATAACAAGTAGGTGTGTTTAGAAGTTTTAACTCCTTGTTTTTCCGATTTGAGCAATTTCTTAACCAAATAAAAAGTAGAGAGGCCTTATCTACGACAAGTGAGCATCAAGTATGATATGTCCTGATTCATGCTATGTGAGTGAGTAAAGTTTTATGCCGCTTTCAGCAATATTCAAGCAATATCAAGGTGGGGACACCAGAAATGGGCTTCACACATTGTACCCATGTGGGGAACACTAGCGAGATTTACAGGCTTTTACAAACGAAAGAGTCTAGGACATGGAAGATTGAATTGTGTACACAAACATTAGCAAGATGTACAGCCTTTCACAAACTGAATAAGCAGGAGATGGAATAATGAGCTATGTACATGAACACTAGCAAGATTTACAGGCTTTCACAAACTGAGGCTAGGAGATGAAGATCAAGGACTGTACATGAACATATACAGCAAGTTCAACTTAACAACATTTACATAGAACAGCTAAATATAGCACTTTTTGGCTCAGACCGCTGACTGCTCTCGTTCCACAGGTCTGGTGTGTCTCATACAGGTTGGATTCCCATTCCAAGCACCCATTTACAATCTTTAGGGTTAGCTACACCTTTCCAATGAAGCACTCATTTACAATCTTTAGGGTTAGCTACACCTTTCCAATGAAGCACTCATTTACAATCATTAGGATTAACTACACCTTTCTTACCAAGCACCCATTTACGATCATTAAGGTTAGCCACACCATTCCAATGAAGCACCCATTTACAATCATAAGGGTTAACTACACCTTTCTTATCAAGCACCCATTTACAATCATTAGGGTTAGCCACACCATTCCAATGAAGCACTCATTTACAATCATTAGGATTAACTACACCTTTCTTACCAAGCACCCATTTACGATCATTAAGGTTAGCCACACCATTCCAATGAAGCACCCATTTACAATCATAAGGGTTAACTACACCTTTCTTATCAAGCACCCATTTACAATCATTAGGGTTAGCCACACCATTCCAATGAAGCACCCATTTACAATCATTAGGGTTAACTACACCTTTCTTATCAAGCACCCATTTACGATCATTAGGGTTAGCCACACCTTTCCAATGAAGCACCCATTTGCAATCATTAGGGTTAGTTACACCTTTCCAATGTGAAGCACCCATTTACAATCATTAGGGTTAACTACACCTTTCCAATCAAGCACACATTTACACCTTTATGAAAAATATCTTCACCTATCCTAGGGTTGGGCACAACTTGCCCATTAAAAACCCCTTTTATGATCTTTAGTGTTGAGACCCTTCAACGATCCTTTGAGGTAGGGTATTGGTTATCACTATTCGTGTATAATCCCTTGTAATTTGAGGAAAGTCTACACAACTACAGAGAAAATGTCTCCTGCCCTTAAAGTTAAACAATCAGATGCTGACTTAGTCCACAAGCACTAATTATCCAACGTCCCATGACAAAATGATGCCTAATATATTTTAACTCATTTCTTTAGCTTCACATTGGAAATGTGAGTTCAACCCTCAATGCGGAGCTAACTGAAATAAGTGTTCCTGGTCAAGTGTACTTCTCTACACCCAGCTGTTGACACATGTAGTTCTTTATTGTTACGAGTTTACCATTTGTAAAAGAACTACAGAAACATGTTTTCGGTGCATTATTTGCAGGATCTGTGACATTCTCCTGTACCAGAACACTAGGGCTCGAACGATTCGGTTCATCGAAAATCAAATCTGACACCTTAGTTTCAATTTCTGATAACCATTATAACTATTTTGATTCGATATTTGAAAACGTGTTTAAATAATTTCCACACAGCAGGAACGTAATTTTGACTCCAGCTCGAGCAGTATCGAGAGTTGAAATAAGACGAAATGTGATTGGTTGACGCCAGACTAATTATCCAATGAGAATTGTTGTTAGTAGACATCACCAAGTCGACGATGGATTTCATGCTTAAACAGCCAATTCTGAGAGTTAAATGAAGTCTGATGCTTTTCCTTGTATGAAAAATCGAATTGAAAAAGATCGAATCGAAGATTCAATATCAAATATCGAATCGAGGTCTGGGTGAATCGTTACCCCCTACAGAACACCCTTAATGTAATACCCGAAAGTGCGAACTGGTCAGTTATGATACTGTTATGGAGCTAACACTGTTATGGAGCGGCCCACCAACTTGTATTCAGCACAGAATGGCTACAAGCTAATCAGGTAGCAAGATTCTTTAACAAGTGAGTATGGTTTTACACCACTTATAGCAATATTCTACAATATCACAACAGCAGACACCAGACATGGGCTTCACACATAACACACCTTATGGAATCTGAAGCATGTCAGATATGACAATATGACAAGCAAACGCTTTAACCACTAGGTTACCCGCCCCTTTTTTAACAAGTAATAATACTCTTTACCAGTAGATTTCTACTGTGACATGTCTTATGTGTTAACAGGTTGAAGATTTCTTCAAATAATTTTCCACACGATGCAGTCGTTTGAAGTTCCGTTGTGTATTTTCTTGTGATCCTGCAGTTGTCCTGGTGTTGCAAAAGCCTTGTCACACTGAGGACACTTGTGGGTTTTGGCTCCGCTGTGACACCTCATGTGCCTATCAAGGTCAGCTGACCGTGAGAATGCTTTCTCACATTCACTACAAGGATAAGGCTTCACTCCACTATGACACCTCATGTGCCTCCTTCGATTACCTGATGTCGTGAAAGCCTTGCCGCACTCGCTACAGGGGTAGGGTTTGACTCCAGTGTGACTTCTCATGTGCGTCTTCAGGGTATCAGATGTTGCGAAGGATTTCTCACACTGTCCACACTGGTAAGGTTTTTGTTTTGTGTGACATCTCATGTGAGTTCGCAGACTACCAGCTTTTGTAAATGAATTCCCACACTCTCCACACTCAAAGGGCTTCACTCCACTGTGGCTCTTCATGTGAAGCTGAATCCCAACCAAATGTGCAAACGCCTTCCCACACTCGCAACAAAAATAAGGCTTGACAATGCTGTGAAGCCTTAAATGAATCTGCAGGCTGAAAGCACTAGTAAAAGCTTTCCCACACTCCTTACAATGATGGGATTTGATTCCAGTGTGACTCCCCACGTGTCTGTCTAAGTCTGCTGACCGGGCAAATGCTTTCCCACACTCAGGACACTGATGAGACTTGGCTTTGCTGTGACCATGGTAAGACTGCATGTGTGTCTTCAGGCCTTCCCGGTTGAGTAAACGATTCACCACAGTCAGTACACTGATATGGGGTGATTTCGTTTAACTGCGTACATACTCCTTCGCATCCTGCATCTATGTCCGAGTCATTGTCACATCCGTAGTGTTCATCTGTTTGTGTACAGGTTCCCTCGCATTCAGGATTTATGTCACTGTCATCCTCATCGTCTTCATCAATGTCATCTGTTTGTGTACACATTCCCTCACATGCGGGATCTCCATCACTATCACTGTCACAGTCCATCTGCTTCTGAGGATCAGTTGTTAGGGAATGTGCTTCTTCGGTGACATTATCCCACTCTGTGACTTGACTACTAGTCTGCGCTTCACCTTGTGCAGCCATGACAAAGGTTGATGTTGAGCCTGCAACTTGACCTGTCACGCTTTACACAAGCAATGCCGTAAGATGTCTCTATGCAGCTTCAGCTTTAGTCTGGAAAAGAATATCAGAATGAGTGAGTGAGTATGGTTATACACTTCTTTTAGCAATATTCCAGCAATATCACAACGGGGGGACACCAGAAATAGGCTTCATATACTACCCATCAAAAGTTTAGACTCACTAGTGTAAATGTTGCGTCTTACTTCAGTCAACTGTTCTAAACTAGATTTTGCAAAATATTCCATACTGTTTAAAGGAACTGTTTACACATGAAGTGAAGTACTGTAAAACAAAATTGTAACATTGAAAAGATTATTGTCATGAGTTCAATTTATGATGAAACTGGAGTGCAGAGAAAAGGACAGCCTGGTGTTCGAGAACGGATGGAGACAGCACAGCACAGGTTAATGAATAAATAACTTTGTCTGTGAACGTGCTTCTCAAACACCTGGCTGTCCCTTTCTCTGCACTCTTCCCTCGTAACAAACAGTGAACTGTGTCAATATTTTAATGATAGTTTGTTAAACAACTTTTTTTATTTTTAGGACAAAAATTCAGCAAAAACCTCACAGAGTGGGTCTGATGTTTTGATTATGATCAGCGTTTCATTGAGTATGTTATGTTTATTAGTTTTCGAGTTAGATTGCAATTCATCAGTCCGCTTTTGAGCCAAACGGACTGTACAAGTCAGGACTGACACAGGTTTACATACATTACAGTGAAGGCCATTTAAACATCATACTGTTGTTATATAGAAGGATTTGTTCAAAAAATGTATTACAATGATGACATGTAAATACAAATGACATTCCATCTCAGTGTTATTAGTTTAGCTGGCTGAACTCAAACAGTCTATGATATGTAGTTTGCCATTATGCTAAAAAAATAGTAATCATCATAATAACTGTGATGCTAATTTCGAAGTTACATGTTCTGTGTTATAATATCTAACCTTTCAGTCACTAACATCAACAGCGTGATGGCATTACACTCGTGTCAGGGGAGATAATTCACTACACACAAGAACAAAAACAAACCTGAAAATATTTGGATGTGTACGCATTTAAAAACAGGGCGATATTTGAAACATGACGACAGACAGATCATTCAAAAAATCCCCATTTTTGTATAATATTCGAATTTATGTGTAGGATATATCGAGTACAGCGAGATCGGGGCATGTGGCTGACTGTTCTTCTGCCATGATCTGCACTCACATTCCATAGCACTTCCAGTATCATATTCCGTCTCGACCGCTTCCTGCGATTTTCAAAATTCTGCAAACTCTTACCTCGACAAAAATAGTTGTTGGTCGGATAAACAACAAGAAAGTTACACAAATCTACATGTAATTTGTGTTTGACCCGTCGTTTCCCTTTTTTCTCTCATTGTAGTCTTCGGATATGAGTGGTTTTCAAAGGGACGTCACTCCATGTGACTCATAAATATTGATATTTCTAGAGAACATGTGTACCTTTACTTGAGTTCCATCCCCAGTCGATATTACTTTTTAGAAACTTTGTTATTATTAAACTGAAAAAGAACAACTCCTCATTACAACTTCCCCATCTTTTTTTCAATCCGTCAAGTGGATTTTAATGCATTCTTCAGTGATAAAAGTGCAGTAAAACTTGCATGATTGGTAGCATGAAGTGTATACCCAACCTTTAGACGACCATTCCCCATCCCCAATACACACTCTCACATATAAACAAGAAAGGAAAATAATCTAGAACACCCAAACAAATTATGAATAAAGAAGAATTCTTAACGGCAATCTCTGAACAGTTACAGTTAGCAACACCCGTGCAGATCCGGGTTATAATTGCTCTTCAGGAACCTATGCTTGTCGTGAGAGGCGACTAACGGGATCGGGTGGTCAGGCTCGCTGACTTGGTTGACATATGTTATCGTATCCCAGTTGCGTAGATCGATGTTCATGATGTTGATCACTCGATTGTCTGGTCCAGACTCGATTATTTACAGACCGTCGTCATATAGCTGGAACTTTGCTGTGTGCAGTGTAAAAGTAAACTCACTCACTCACTACAGTTAGCAGAGAGCTCTCGCCTAAGTTACAGTTTGAAAGTCTGTTATACTACAAAAGGAGAGGAGTACCAGTAATTGCCAAAACAGATAGGGCTATTTAGACAAAACATCACTTTTGTGTGTCAAAACGGAACAATGAAAAAAAAATGAATGAAACACGTGTAATTTGGATTACACTTTCTCAATAAAGTACACATTCTAATATACTTTTGTTGAGTCGGGACCCTCTCTCTCGGGGTCAGGCACCTAATCGCCAGCACATAAAGTGAGCCATGTACCCCACTCATTAATGAAATGAAAAACAGTTGTTGTTTTTTAATATCATATTTATCGTTTAGTTGCCTTTAAATTTGTATCTCCAGTTTACATATATATTTCACTATATTAGATGGCAATGATACAAAGTTGCGACTGAAGAGTTTCATGTCGTTTACCTTAGGCACAGGCACAGTTGTTAGGTGGGAAACGTTTTTGTGTGAAGACAGGATGATATTACCTTTGTCAGCTTAAAATATGTGAGTGCACTTTAAAATCGCCTGATAGACTCGAGAAGTGAGTATAGGCGTCCACTCTTCCCAATGAACTACTGGGCGGTGGGGCAGCCTAGTGGTTAAAGCGTTCGCTCGTCACGCCGGAGACCCGGGTTCGATTCCCCACATGGGTACAATGTGTGAAGTATATTTGTGGTGTCCCCCACCGTGATATTGCTGGAATATTGCTAAAAGCGGATTAAAACTAAACTCACTCACTCACTCACTCCAGATGAAATGCGAATGACTAGACGTGAGGTGGGGTAGCCTTGATGTAAAAGCGTTTGCTCGTCACGCCGAAGGCCCGGCTTCGATTCCCCATGTATACTACAGTACGTGTGAAACCCATTTATGGTGCATGTCCCCCTCCGTGATATAACGGGAATATAGCTACAAGCTTCGTAAAACACAACTCACACTCCAGACCCACCGATTTCTACAGATTATTACTTCTCTTGATATGAAACTGTCAATGCCCTAATCTCAAGTCAGAGATATAGATGGGATCAACCAACACGCGGTGGATATTGGGTATAACATTAACTGGGCCCCGTTTCACAAACCTCTCGTAAGCCTAAGATCTCGTAACTTTCCTCGTAGCATTCGTACATAGGAAGTACGGCTGCTACGAGAAAAGTTACGTAACAGAGGTGTGTGACGTCATCCCGCCACGAAAGCAGTCTTATTCTGAGAGAAACTCCGGTTTCCATAGATGCGATTCAAGTTTGACTGATAACCGGATTCTGTCAAGTGCGCATAAGGGTTGTGTCAGAACAAACCAGGAAGCTGTTGGTATTGAGTCTGTCTCACTGACTATTCCTTTTAAGGGCAAAGTCAACAAGGTACTTGAGGATCTGAGGTCACTGCTAATATATTTTAAAATATCATGCAAGTGCTTTTCTTACGTCACCCTCCTGGTTTGTTTTGTTGTCTTACGTCGCACTCAGCAATACTCCAGCTATATACTGACTGAGTTTGGTTTTACGCCGCTTTTAGCAATATTCCAGCAACATCACGGCGGGGGACACCAGAAATGGGCTTCACACATTGTGCCCATGTGGGGATTCGAACCCGGGTCTTCGGCGCGACGAGCCAACGCTTTAACCATTAGGCTACCCCACCGCCCCCCTCCAGCTATATAGCGGCGGTCTGTAAATAATCGAGCCTGGACCAGACAATCCAGTTATCAATATCATGACCATCGATCTACGCAGTTAAGATACGATGACATATGCCAACCAAGTCAGCGAGCCTGACCACTCGACCTCGTTAGTCGCCTCTCACCACGAGCATGGGTTACTGACGACCAATTCTAACCCGCATCTTCACGGGTGCACCTTCCTGGAGTGAGAGAGTTAAGGCTTTAAGTCACCTCGACAGTCACATATTCCAGCCAAATCGTGACCGTACCTTGACAGCGATGGGAAAGACAAGATCTAACTGTCACAATCCCACAGGGAAGTCGCTATCAGAAGCAACAGGATGACTCAGAGGTGTAAGTAATCAATGGCTGTCCGGCAATCTGAAAAAAACCCTTCTGAGCTGGCTTTGTATACAGAATTAGATTCTTATTCAATGTAACTCAAACATCAAGACCAGTAGATAGGAGCGAGTGAGTTTAGTTTTACGCCACTTAGCAATAGTCCAGCAATATCACGGAAATGGACTTCACACATTATACCCATGTGGGGAATCGAACCCGAGTTTTCGGATTGATGAGCGAACGCTTTAACCACTAGGCTGCCCAACCGCCCCCAATAGGTATAGGATGATTGGTGACATTGGACCAGAATCTGAAGCACATCACATCCGATCATTTGAATCTGGAGGTTGCTCTGAAGGGATACAGGCTAGGCTTCAATCCACCCGATAAGGTCCGGGTTTGAATTGATCTTCAATAACCCATGCTTGTCGTAAGAGGCAATTAACAGTATTATAGGTAAATATTAATCTAACCTTACAACAAGTGTAACACTGACCAGAATTTACAAAACATTTGTTCAGTATCCACTGATAAATGGAGACATCTGGTAACATCGTAATACTTAATAACTTCTCTTTTTAACAAAATTGATGTGAGGCACATAGTCGCTCATATTGATAATAAAGAAGTTGTATATCCATAGAACTCTCCTCGTTGTTCATCCGTTGTTCTCCTCGCCACTCAAAGAAGCATCTTTCCAGGCTATTCATACTCAACTGGACAAAACAGCATTATGGTAACTGGGGAATACAGATCATAGCTGAGGCCTATATTTCAGTTTTCTCGGCACCCAAGATCATAGATCTGAATGTTGTTATACAGAAAATATAAGTTTTGAAAAATACCTTTATCTACCTAAATACGTCTATTATCCAATCTTGAAATTTAGAACAACAAATCACAACTTACCAGTTGAAACCGGACTCTGATCTGATACCCCAAGAGTGGAACGTTTGTGCCATCTATGTAATTCCCCGGTGGTGATGAGTTCCACTACCTGTTCAGGTGTGAAGCCCTTCTCCAGCCGCGGTCTATACACATACGTAAAGATCTCTACGAATGGCCTAATATGTTCAAGCTAAAAAAATGTTTATCTAGAACCAGAGTAAAAAATGTGAAAAACCTGTCTAAATTCATCAACATCATCTTCAGACTAGTTGCAGCTGCATGAGAATCATGCTAACTTACTTTGTCATATTTCATTGAAAATTTCACTATATATATGTATTTACCTTATATTGCTGTCATCTTGATTGATTATATTATCATATGCGAATTTATATTGTACTTTTCTCATGTACCACCGTTGGTGGGTTCTTTTGAGAATAAACTGTCTGTCTGTCTGTTAGTCATTATTCTAATGAATACAGACCCCCTATTTCATGAGTGCAATATCTCTTGTGTCCAGTCTTTTTGGACCAGTGACAGAGGTGACTTTCCCAATATGGCGAAGACTGCTGTATCTCACGCTCTGTCCCTGATCACTCCTTGCATTGTTGAGTGAGTGAGTTTAGTTTTACTCCGCTTTTAGCAATATTCCAGCAATATCCAATTCTGGGACACCAGAAATGGGCTTCGCACATTGGACCCATGGGAATCGAACGTGTAGAGCGAACGCTTTAACCACTAGGCTACCCCATTGTATATTGTTGACATGGGGGATAGGTTAAAGCATCGACAAGAGGGTATGTTCACAATGCTCAAGAAGAGATTGCGGGCCTTTTCCACATACATTGACCAAGTTTCTCTGTCAGGTGAGAACCGGGAAGAGCCTGGTTAGAACTGATCTTCAGTAACCCATGCTTGCTGTAAGAGGCGACTAATGGGATCGGATGGTCAGGCTGGCTGACGTGGTTGACACATGTCATCGTATCCCAGTTGCGTAAATTGGTGCTCATGCTGTTGATCACTAGATTGTCTGGTCCAGACTCGATTATTTACAGACCGCCGCCATATAGTTGGAATATTGCTGAGTGCGGCTTAAAACTAAACTCGCTCACTCACTTCACTGTCAGGTGAAGGCGACACTCAGCACATGGATCTGTCCGTTAGGGCAAAGGTTTTAAACATAAGTACAATGATGTCACCACAAATGAACGCTGGTTGGTTGAAAGGGGTTGCGGAGGGTTACTGGCTGTTGAATCAATGGGTGATTAGATGAACAATAACCACTGCTGAATGGGGCGGAGGAGATAACCCTGGACCATGAAATAGAAGTATCTAAAAACATACCCACTGTTTGGGTTGCTGATGGCCACTGGCTCTAACAATTCATTGTCATCTTCTCCCTCAGATAAATTCGTGCACAATAGGAATATACAGACCCTTTGCATGTTTGTTTGTGTGTGTGTGCTCA